TTGATATTCAATTATTTTTTGTGAAATTACTGCACTAGTTTGTTATAATTATTAATACAAAGATCGAACACTCAGAAAAAATTCCTTCGATCCGGCCGGATTCGAAACGACGTTTTCTAGCAAACCGTGCCGAGACGAACGAACGAGCGGATCTCACGAATTTTTCTATGTGCTTGTTTGTCTTTGTACTTGGTTTTCAACAACTTTTTAGCCGCAGCGCCATCTATGAGAAATCTATGAAAGTATTTCGTTACCCAGTTAGGTAACTTTACAGCTACCAGCCCTGGCTATTAATTATCATGATGTTTTTATGTATTAGTATTACAAACGCACGGTCGAGTTCTGTCATATCAAAGGCAGTTTTCTTTGTGATCGCCTTTGTATTAATAATAATATTTATTTTTGTTGAATTTTTTGACCACCGTGATATTACTACACTAGTTTGTTATTATTATTATTGATGCAAAGATCGAACAAACACAAAGAAAAATTCCTTAAATCCGATTGGACTCGAAAAAGTAACTGAGTTACACATCGAGTCAACAGATGTTACGAATGTCTTTGTGCTTGTTGCGGAAATTTGTAATTGGGTTTAAACGGTGTTTTTGCAACGCCACTTGTGAGAAACTTATGAAAGCCTCTTTTCAGTCAGCTAGATACCTTTAGAGGTACCAGAATTTGGTTTTCTCATCTAGCACCCATAGTGCTAACAGTAGTATGCATTGTAATAACCTGTAATTTCCGACTACTAAACAAATACAATTACAAGTGCTAAATACAAAGACCGAACACAAAGAAAAATCCCTTCGATCCGACAGGACTCGACGCAGATTCAAGCCCTGTCAGATCCAAAGAATGTTTCTTTGTTTACAATATTTGTATTAATAATTATAATTATCAACAAATTAGTAATTTCACAAAAAAAAATTAATATCATGGTAGTAAAATATCATGACATTCAATTAAATCAAAATTAATTCCATAAAACAAATATATCTATTACAACGTATCTATATTTCTTTTAATCTACATACATGCATAGTACAATAAGACAAATGTAGTAACTCCATACAAACGTAGCAGCGCGGCTTGTAAGTGTGCGTGCTCGCCGCACGTCGTGTACGAACACACAAATTCGCATAGCCTCGCGACGCACTCACGTTGCATAACTGGTCCTCACACGCACCTTTTGTTATTATGCGAATGTGTGTCCATACACGGCACACGGCGGTCGGCGGCGTCTCATTTTACTATAATATATCTTCCTATTTATTCTAAATAACTAAACTAACCCTTTATTGGATGATGTTTTAAAATCAGCCTGTCTATAAATTGTAATTCTCTAAGCTACACAACCCTAGATAAATAGACATCAATTTCTTAAATCACAATTACTTTTATTTCTATCAATAAAATGTCATCATTAAATGGTTCATCAAGTCCTTTTCATGTTGAGATCTTATTATGGAATAAACTATTTTATAAAATTGTAACATGGCCAGTCTAAGCAAACATTTTTATCTTATTAGCATAATAAATATTTGCTTGCTTAGCTTACTATTTTGGTTTTATCGTTTTAATAAATATTTCTTTTCAATTCAATACAATTTAGTTTATTTCAGACAAAATGTAGTCTTTAATAATTAACAGTATTCGTTAAGCGAGCTAGCAAGTACTGCAAGCAAATTTAAATTTTTTTTATAAAAGCTTTTTATTTGCGTTACAAACCCTATTTCTAATTCATTAAAATACATATTAATTCATAATAACTCGTGGCCATATTCCTAAAAGTAACTTTGGCAACTTATTTATTTTTTGTTATACCATTTTTTTTCATTCGTCTTTGACGTGCATTTTGCCTACATTTTCCATTTATTCCAAACTCTTCTTTTTCCTTTTTTTTAACAATGGTAACGTGTCCTTATAACTTTTTTTTCATTACCTCGTGTTATTTTTTATTTTGTTTAACCGACTTCAAAAGAAGAGGAGGTTCTCAATTCGACTGTACTTTTTTTGTGTGCATGTTACGCGATTTCTCCGGCATTTGTTGTCCGATTTTGATTATTCTTTTTTGTTGGAAAGAGGGTACCTCAGTATTGGTCCCATTTAAATTTGAAGAAAATATTTCCACTGTACGGGTGATAAACTAGGGTATGACTCAGCTTTTGCGCACTGTCCCGCAACCGAATGATAAGTAAATTGTTTCAGTTTATATGTATATATGTATAAGCAAAGATTGAAATCGGTTCCTTTGTTTTCTAATAAAAATTACTATATTACAATTTCAATTCGTCACATTGCAAAACCCCTTCGCCCATGCAATTTCCACTTTCCGGTACCTCCACCGTAACGATGTACCTCAATTTATCCTCTTGTCATTTCATCGATATCTCTGCTTTTATTTTTGGAGGGACTCTAAAAGGGGAAGGCTCGGGGCGCGGGGGAATAATATCTTGAGCACATTGCAGTTGCAATTCCATAATGTCGCGGTGAAGAGACATGATAAGTCGAAGGATTTTTGTAAAGTATTCCAATTTCTGAAAAAAAAAAAATTTTGAAATAACTTTCATATCAGATATTATGATATTGTGTTACTCTATTTGTTTGTTATAATTTATTAATACAAAGACAGAACACAATTAAATTTGTTCGTTTCCTAAAACCTGTGCTTGTAGTGCCAATCTAGGGCAACCGCTTTACCAACTGAGGTACAGATCGAATCAGTAGATCTTACGAATTTCTTAATTCGATCTTTGTATTTCTTTTGCCATGTATGCGAAATCTATGAAAGTTTTTCTTTCTCAACCTGGTAGCTATACAGCTAGATATACAAGAGGTGTCGTATAATATACATTGTTCTACTGATTCTCCTGTACATGGGGGTACACGACAAGGTGCGACTTGGGCGAGAGCGACATAAAGCGCGAGATACTACTATTCTCGCATAGAGATCGCTTCATGTCGCTCTCGCGCAAGCCGCGCCCTACTGGTCGATTTGTGTCTGATATTTGCAGTAATAATTATAACAAATATGTTATGATATGAATTTTAAGGCCCTTATTAATAAACATATCTCAAGCTGACCCGTATTAATTAATAAAATAATGTAAATGAACGAAATGAGCAATACTTAGAGTTACTTATTCATTACCTTCAGGGGAATAATGCCTTAGGAATGAGACTTGACGAAGTCTAATTTTTACCTTTGAAATAAAGATATTTTGAATTTGATTTAATAGACTATAGTCAATGTAATTTGGGATGATACCGTCTCAAGTGACAAAGACCTTGCCTTTGATGGATTAGGACTAACGTAATTTAAGTACAGATTAACGTTTATTAATGGAAATTTTGATCTCTGAAAAGATGTACACTTGTGTATTTGTATTTATTTATTAGTACAGTTTAATTTATATCATTGGAGTATTTATGATGGATTTATTAATACGGGTCTGATACCGTCTTTATACGGATATCGAATTTAGTTAACTAATGTCATCGAATATATAACCAGAAATAGAGACGAAATGTCATTTAATTTGTTTGAAAACTATCTTGCCATATCATTACGGTGACAACTGCGCTCCGATTGGCCAGCCCAAATTCGAAATAATTGACAGGTGTCGTCAATTGTTTCACCTCAAATCGACCAGTTTACTCTAAGCTTTGCTATAATGAACGAAAATTGCAGAATTACATATTGAATTACCGATGAAATGTGATTCCGTTTGTTTTGTAATTCGATGTTTTGCTGTTTTTCCCAAACAACCGAATGGAACGGCCCCACTTAGAGATATCATCTTTATTACAATAAATACAGAATATTTTTAGAATATACGGAGACGTACACACAGACCAGTTGTGGGCGCTGTACTATTTCAGCTTTCTAATTTGTGATTTCAGTGCAAACGAGAATTGATATTTAAAAGTGATATAAGGCCCACTTGCCTGATGAGTTGCCAGGGATGGATGGCCCTTATTTAGTCTCTATGTGTGGTTATATACTCGATGACTAATGTAAAATGAGTCGTATTACCACTAGCAAAAAAGCGTTTTTTTATTCTTAAGCATGATGTCTTGTAAGTAGTAGATATAAAAGGCATATACGGTGTAAAATTGTGAAAACAAAGTGGACAATTTTATAAGTTTTTGTTAGAACTCCAGTTTATACACTTCCGGACACATAATTCGAGCCACCACGCATTTTCAGTTTTAAGTGCCCAAAGCTTAAACAATGTTTGATTTTTCAAAAATTATTATGCAATTGTGAAACTACTACAATAAACGTTTTCCATAAGTCTTTGTTGGGAATTCGGACTTGCAAAACCAGGGAAAACTTTTTCTTCGATGAAAACACTATTTTTGTATTCTAGCCCTTTACGGCAAAAATGCGAGGTGCCTCGAATTATGTGTCCGAGAGTATATTACATTTTTTCCGCCTTGAAAATAGTCATCTATTTACAAGACATACTGTATGTTTTAAAATTGCTAAAGGTTGATTTTTTTGGAGATTGTGATCCAGACTAAAGTATGTACTCTTCCAAGCTATATGTTGGTAGCTATTGTATAAGACTAAATTTGATCTGCTATAATTTTGCATGCAAAACATTGTACACTAAAGGGAAATAATACAAAACATATATTTTGAAATTTTAAATAAACCATAATAAATAGTGTTAAAAGGTCTTAGAGCGGTAATTTTTATTCCCTTTACTGTACAATATATTTTTTTTAATTCACATAAAAAAAAATGCATGCTTTTAGTACTTTGAATAACAGGTAGAAATACTGCTCTAAGCGTTATTAATAAAAGCATTATAAGTAAAAAAAATATAACTTACATTTGATCCCCTCAGTGTACAATATTTATCACACACAGCACTTAAAAAAATTTTTTCAGCCGCAATTTAAAAAATAGTAATTGCGATGTGTTCATTTTTTGTTGATTTAATTTTTTATTTTCTGAGGTGGTTCTGTTATTTTAATAAATGGATACATACCTGGCTTCCTTGCGTACTCTGGCCATTAGCTTTTTCTCCCCCCACCACGGTACTGCAAGGAAGGGGTTTGGCTACACCAATTGTCACAGTTCCTGAAAAAATAAAATTATTTCGTCACAGCTTTACTTGTTAATTGCTGGCGATATGCTATGCTAAGGCTAAATTATCACTTTTTAATTTTATTTTCTTAGTTTATTTTTAAATTTGTATTCCATGTGAAAAATGGAACTGATTATTGCTTACCGTAAATAATCAATATTTACTGGTTTCATGAACCAAAGTAATGTTTTTTTTTTGCGTTATTTGCATAAAACATAAGTATAGGGGCATTGAGCAGATTTTGCTATAAATTATATACAATTTTTGGTAAATTTGGTAATCGCAGGAAACAGTTTTCCTGTTGAAAATACCGATGCTCATCTTTTGAGTTTGTCACTGAAGCGTTTACTTCTGTAACCCGTGTCACAAACATTCCAATGTGAGTCACTGTTCTGTAAGGTTTGGGACCTATGTCGGGATATTGATTTGGCTGACTTAATGCAGGTTAAATAAATGAAGTTTTATTTTTAACTGTAAACTCAATATCGAACGCTGTGAGATATAAAATGCTGCTATTCCTGATCAGATACAAGGTTACGTACATATGTTACTGCAATACCAGTCTTACTAACAATGTTTGTGGTTTATTTGCTACTCTTATCGAATGTATCTTATTTGAGCAGATAGTTATGTTTGACGTTGATCTTTCTGTATGTTAGCGCTAATTGATAATGTTTATAATATTTACCATGTACTCGAGAAGAGATATTTTATTTAAGTCATATTTTATAGTCGGCATTACTGTCGGGGGTTCAGGACTATTGAGATATAAATGAAAATCTTAACAAGTAGGGCCAAAAACACCTCCTTGTAGAACGCCACCCATAAAACGTAGATATGTTATTAACGACTATTATCTCAAGGAAAACCGTTTCACATTAAGGATAATTATGCATAGCGCTTATGTCACTAGGCTACCTTTAGAAGCACAGTTATACCCTACAATGAGACAAAATCTATAATTAACCCTATTGAAAACTTAAGGTAAGCCACAGGGTAACATTCTTGGACCCATAGACTTTCTAACGTCCAAAATAGTAAATAATTTATACTTGTATTAAAGAAATCCAATCTCACCTTTAGGAGCACTCTTAATAGCACTAACAGCAGTAGCTAATGGACTCCTGGAAACATCAAGCCCATTGACTGACATCAGCCTGTCTCCAGGTGCAAGACGTCCGTCGGCAGCTGCAGCTCCTCCGGTCACTACTGACCGGACTACAATCACTGAACTACCAGGTTCTGAAGGGTCCTAGAACGAGAATTATCAATTTATTAGCGATTTGCTATTAAAAACATAACATCTATGATTATTTTTTTTTATAATGTGCCAGACAACCACACCAATTACCTGGTCACAAAAACTAAGATTTCGAATTCGAATCAAATTCTCTGTGCAATGAGTATCAGAGCAACGGAATTCACTCCGGGGTACTAGCCGGACCTCCCAGAACAGAACCAACTTACAAAAAGTTCCTATCAGGAATTGGACCCTGAACCTTTTCATCCAGCGCCCACAGTTTGCACTGTGTTTGCACAAGGCTGCAAAAGTCGTCAATTATTATTGCTGTTCACCACCGTCAGGCAGGACAGTTATCTTTAAAAGTTTCATGATTCTTAAAAAAGAGAGTAATAAACATCCCAGCACCTAAATATCCAAGATGAACTTAGCAGGTAACGCTGACATTACACATATCCACTGGGCATTATTTAATAATCAGCTCACCAAATAATCTAAAATAGAGAATCCCAATCCTCTGTCTTCTTTCTGCAATTGTATATAGTCTATGTTATCGCTCCACATCGCCAGACCACTTAGAGGCTCTAGGGATCGTGATCGATTTCTTTCTAAATCTTCTGTGCAGAATTCTGAAAACATTACAATAGAGTTCTTAAGTTTTCGCGGTTGCTTCGCATTTTTAAGTTGTGCCATAAACCAATAAACTTTATTTTGTAAATTCTCTGGGTCTGATTTCATAAGTCCTGTGTATCCCTTAATGCGCTTTAAGTTATCTCCTTCACTGTCCTACTAGTAAACTTATCAGAGTCTAAGTATGTTTGCCTTTTTTTTTCTTTATTTATTAGAGGGTTTATTCTTAATAAAATATGCCACCCCCATAGGAACATAGCACCACTTTAACACACTACATACTAAATACTGATAATTATCTACATTTTATACATTTTTCTACAATGCGGTACAGCGCTCTGGCCACTTGGGATGTAGGGTTAGCCAGTATGCTGTTACACATACCCACACTTAGTACAGGCAAGTTGAATTTGATGCCTAACTGAAGCCTCCCAGACTCGCTCCGGACATATTCCACGAGGACGTCTTCGTCTTCGTCTTCCCTCTTGTTACAAATAGAACAGTTGGGAGACGTTGTCTTACCCATCAGGTGGGAGAAACTGTTTAGTGGGATATGGCCCGAGCGAAGCCGGAAAGCTGTTATGATTTCAAATCTGCTCATGTCTACTGCATCAATCCAAAGGTAGTTGTTAGTTGTAGTAGTAGTAGTAGTAGTATGTTTGTCTTAAAGAAGTTAATTGGTTTGGACTTTGTCATTTCCATACGACGGGTACACGAGTAGGTATATATAGTAACTCAAGATGACATACGCTAATTAACCCTATTGCACTACAATCTAATTGTACTGAGCATCTGACTAGCCTATAAACTGTAGCCTTTGTCCACTTACCATCATGATCGTGTCCAGTAGACATAATAGTAGTAGCACTACATAGCGAAGCTACCGAGCTTTCAGATTTGGCCTTAATCAACCGTTGCGGCGGTGTCAGCAAATCTTGAAGACTGCCACCGAGGATGTTACTCTGGAAGAAAAATTAAAAGAGTTACATTCTCATTATCGAGGATGTTTTAAGGTGAAAAGTGAACAAAAGATACAGCAGGTTAAAAATTAATAAGAAAGTAACAAAAGGACATAAGAAGCACTCGAATGATTCTCTGGTTATCTGGCTTGATCAATCCGGGCTTTAAAGAACCGTTGCGCTCTAATCAGTCATTGTAAAGCTAACATAACATTATGTACTTGAAGATACATTAAGGGTAGTAAGCTGTTAGTAAATAATGACATCAGCACGCAAAAGGAGCCCTAGAAAGCTACAGATGATGTCATTGGGGTTGCAGAACAATCGACTAATAAGATTTTACTGGTCGTCGAAACTACAGAAGACGCACCATATTCGGAATCCTGCCATCAATTCCTGAACAAGTACACGATAGACGACTTTATACTAGAATTCAAAACAAACTACTAACTAAAAGATTAAAATACACTCGTCCTACCATATTCATAAAAAATGCGCTATCAGTAACATAAATACTAGGCAATAAACCTAACACCATCTATGACGGTAAAGACACAACTAAATAGTTTAATAAAATATTATCCTACTAACGCAAAAAAATCATATGAATAAAATCATATAAAAATAAACTATGCGCAATAGATTACGTATCAGAGTAAAAATTACGTCAATAAAAATACTGACTCTCGTATCTAATCAACTGTTTCCTGGACATAAACGGTTTTCTCTCAAACAGATGTCAGAAAAAACAAATATTTCGACCGGGAAAGCTACACGAGACATGTCATTGTGTAAACCGGGTTTATGATTTGTAGGGTACTAGAAGATAAATTCACAGTAATCACAGTATACGAAGTAGTTTTCATAAAATAGTACCGAGTACGAAGTCGCAACCTACAGCCACTATGTAAACAAACACGTATATATTTACAGACAGTTTTGAAAGTAGTACAACGTAACAATTTGATCTAGAAAACCTCGGTCACAATGGTAAATTTTCAAAAACAGTTTTCCTAATCTGTGCGAAACGTGTGAATCAAACGCAATAATGAAATCACTAAATTTATAAAGCAAGTGAACAAAGTCCTGAATTGAAAGCCATCTTCATCAATTTCAAAGAAATTTTCCATTAAAGCGCCAATGTTCATGGCAAAGTGAATTTGGTCGTGTATTAGAACTTCAGTACTTCTGACATAAGCTTTGGCTTCTCGCCAGTTGAATGCGTGATATCGATAACAAACAAAACCAAATGAGAATCGCTGGGCCATTTTATAAACATCTTTGGAATATTTTGTTTGGATATAAACGTCGTTATGATCTATAGAAATGTGAAAGATTCTGTAGACTCTGAAATTTGAGATATTAAATGTTATCTCGCTCGGAAATTTGTTTGCCTAAGCTGACAAAACATGAACGGAGAAAATCAAATAGTAATCATTTATATCTAATCTAAAAAACATAATAAATACGAAATTCAGGAAGGCAAGAACCGATAGTTACAGACGAGCCTATATCATCAAGTTAGAAAATAGCACCCAAAAATTGGTTTCATGTAATACTTCACGCCTATTTTCATCTTGCTACGATCTTGACACACATCTTTAGCCTCGTCAACACACATTAATACTTTCTGTATCAACTCCTAGATTTATTGAGGGGCCAGTAAGAGCCAATAGTGGAAGCTCACAGCAATAAATATTTTGGGCAGCAAATCAAATGGTTAAATTATATACACTTCTCTAATCTCAGTTTATTCCCGACAAATGGATCTATAAGTAAACAAGAGACTGACCAACGACAATTACGATTGGATATTTGAATTTAATTCAACGATTTTCCCAGTCTTTTATGATACCAAACGACATGACTGTCCATAGCAGTTGCAGTCCATAGTAGAACACTGTCAGTTCGCCTGTCACCCTGAGACACAAGTTGACAAGTTCCATGCGTCTATAATTTCACCAGCACCTATAAAAACTCTTAAAAACCACACGGTAAAGCTTTATCATTGACGTCATTTGGAATCTTGTTGTCTCAAGGTGCTTCGGTTATACAAACTGTTCTGCTTGGCTAATGTATGGAGAAGCTTTAAGGTTGTTTTTATGTTCATTAATGCAGGATGCATATTTAATGTTAATACTATTACACTGAAATTTTTCTAGATCAGCAATAGAGATTCTTGTAAAAGCGTACTTGTTGTACAATAACTAATCAAAGGAACGAATGTTCCATCTGTCTCTTTTACACTTACCCTTGCAAAGCTGGATTCACTTTTGCTGCTATGCACATCGTTGTCTCGCTTCCGTACACAGACAAGCAGTACCGGCGACTGCACTGCCCTTAGTCTTGTAACTACATCTACATGATGTGAGCCTAGTACCCTCCAGCCGTTTACCTGTCAGATAGTAGAGTATGAATGTAAGTCAAAAATTTATTGGACTAAAATCGTTATTTTAAATTTATTTTGAAATACAATTTTGCTTTTATTAAATAAATTTCTAAGTTGTGTTACATAATAGATCTGCATATACAGTCTGCTTATTATTGATATAAAAATCTTTTGGCTCTCTGCCTAACAATAACGCCGTTACGCAACTGCTTTGACAGATATACCATAAAGCAACAACAAGAACCATTGTTATCATGTCAGGCAATGACTGAATAAAATATAAAGATAAAATTTGCATTTTTGCCACTTTACAATCTTACAATATTCTTATATTTTCACGAAATATTAAAATTCATATTTCCAAACAAATTTGGGATAGTGAAAAATATTACCTCAAGTAACTCATCTCCAACTTTATATAATCCAAGTTGTGCTACTGGTCCGTTCGGCGCGATAGCCCTGATATAATGTCTTGCCTGAACCTCTTTACCACCAACAACTCGTACGGTACCTTCCAGGGAGATTCCTAATCCACTGTCTTTTCCCTTAATTATTGTGCCAATCTGAAAGACAGAAAATTAATATTTTCTTGTATATCATTGTGTTGAAACTTATCTATTTAATAACGTCAATTTATCTTCATGACCAAGTGTTGCAATGTCCAATGATTCCTATTTTTTCTTTCAATTAATTAGATTAGCTGTAGGAATAATGAACACTGGTCAATCTGCAAACTTTCCTTTCTGATTATCAGACATTTCTAGTACGAAAGGTCTTTATTGATAGCAAACCACTCACAATAATGTCGTACTGATTTTGATGTCCAGGCCAATCCTTTTCAGCTTCCAACAAATCCCGCCATTTGTCCTGTATCCTTCTTGCTTCTCTTTCTGATAGTTCGTCATCTCGTCCGATCACGATCTCAGCTTCTTCAGATGGAGACGTAGGGGATGGGAGATGAGGTTGGATTTCGGAGTCTGCCTCCGCTTCTATTACTGTAGATTCATCGTACTAGAGACAAAAAGATTATGAAAGTAAAGACACAAGAAGTTTCAACTATTCCGAGTTAATCCTTGCATACAGCACATGTCTAAGAACAATGTTATAGATTTAATGAGCACTCAAAATATACATAAGTGAAAACAACGATGAGGAGAATTCAAGTGAAAAGGAGTAAACGCCAGAACAAAAAGTATTCCTTATGTTAGATATTACATTACCTAACAAAAAACAATTTTTTGGGCCTGGAAAAATGTCCTATTACCCAAGTCATAAACTGATAATATTACTTACCACACTAAAGCTATATTTGGCAAGTGAGGTAACGGACGGGCTGGGTGGCGCGATGGGGGAGCGTCGGCCATCCTGCGCCGCTAGCGCCTTTTGGAGTTTCTCGAACCCCGCTCCACGAAGGTATCTAGAATAGTTTGCTTGTCAATAGTTTAACATCTTTAAGACCTATTACGGTAACTGTATAGACGAGTACTTAAAGATCTCTAAGTACTAATTATTACCTATACATTACATACGTTATACTCGGATGCCGTGACACAAATTTTAAGTACGCAGAACCGCATTATCCGGAACCGTATATTACCGAGAACCGGATAATCCGGTCGTTTGGAGTCCGTTCCAAGAACAGATCTTTATAAGAAAATATGAACAAAAATATTGTAATCGACTTGAACACGACTTCATCATTCAGCCATACGACGCCCACTGCTGGGCATAGGCCTCCCCCAACGATCTCCACGACGATCGGTCCTGCGCTGCCCGCATCCATCGGCTTCCCGCGACCTCCACCAGATCGTCGGTCCACCTGGTGGGGGGCCTACCCACTGAGCGTCGTCCGGTGCGCGGTCGCCATTGAAGAACCTTTCCGCCCCAACGGCCATCGGTTCTCCTAGCTATGTGCCCCGCCCACTGCCACTTCAGCTGAGCAATTCTTCGAGCTATGTCGGTTACCTTAGTTCTCCTACGGATTTCCTCATTTCTGATTCTATCACGCAGGGAAATACCGAGCATCGCTCTCTCCATTGCCCGCTGAGTGACCTTGAGCCTTATAGTGTCCCTTTCAATATTTTTTTTTTTTGCTTTGTTAAGAACAAAGGAAATAAAACAATTTTTCCGAATTTAAATCGCGCATGGTTCAATAGGACAGTTTACAGGTTTCATGAGACCTACTCTCGAATTCGTCCGACATCCGTGCGAAACAATTACTACCAAATAAGCAATACTTGACCAAATGAAAAGACGCGTGATGCGAATGAAGCTTCATACTGGATACTTGTCTTTTAATTTTGTGTAACGGGCCTGAAACGTTGGTTTGTTTGAAAAACCAAATATATACGAGCTAAATCCGGAAAATAATTTCATTTCCTACGTATAACAATCGCGAAAACTTAAGAACTAGATTTATGACTCGATTAAGAGCTGGTTCCGACAATGTTCCGACCCGATTCCTGAGCTACGACGAGCTCAGTAACTAGTTCTCAAATTTTGGACTGTTTGCGGTCCTTAGAAGTTACAAAGACGTATAAGTCACGCCAACGAAATATTGAGACACGCAGATGCTGAAATACTTCTTGTCAATTAATTTCGAACTAGTCTCGGTCGGAATAAGGTCGATTTTTCTACTGCTCAATATCATTATGTCATAACGTTAAGGCACACCTTAAAGCTTTCAGTCTGACAACAGGGCCTTTAGCGTCTCGCAACAAAGCCACAGCTCTGTGGTTCGTCACTCCGTGTAGAGACACGCCGTCCACCTGAAAAGAACATAATATATGGTTAAGGAAAATTTGGTCCAAATTTTATGATAATTATTTCTGTAAGATAAGAACAAGGAATGTTTTGATAGTTTGGTCATATGGAGAGGATGGATGTTAGTAAAGTAACTGCATGTATGTACAGAGCGCATATGGATGAAAACACGAGGAAAGTTCTACCTCGTATATCAACCAAATCGAGGATGGAGTGAGTCCTACGGAATTCTCAAGTGGCTGGTGTACAAACCATATCTGTGTTGCAAAAATGAGAGATTCATTCTGTGTGCCGTTTAGGTTCTCGGTATTATAACTGTGGCATTTCATTAAAAAAAAGAAGATATCCATAATATTAACCTTAGTCCATAAGTCCAAACTCATGGTACCACGATATCTTTAACAAAGTTAAATGATTCTTTTATGGGGAACTGTATACGTTTTAAAACTTTTTAAATTGAAAAGTCATGTTACAAAATTGAAGAGTATGTATTAGATGTATGGAAAGACAACAATAGTCTAGATACCACACAATTATGGTTCAAAATATAGCATTTAAGTTTATTTGAAAAGAGCAATCCCTTGAGTTTCTTACTCGTTCTACACAGGCAGGTCAGCGTAGTGAACGAGCAGTAGCTTAAAAAATTACGTTTTCAAGTGTAAAAATGTTACCTATGGAATAAATCATTATTTGACATTAATTTTGACTTTGATGACCCCGAATAAATCGGAAGTACTAACTATAAAAGAGAATGCATAAAAGGAATGATGCTGTGGAAGGGGCAAACAAGATATTCGCGTTCTATTAAGGCCACATCTGTAAAATGATAACTTTTCAGAGACGTAACGGAGATGTAAGTTTATTTCATCTAGTTTGTATTATTTTTCTGTCTTTCATGTGGTAAAAGCGAGATACAAATACCGCGATAAAAGCCGAACAAATCCAATACCAAAGAGCTGTAAGGCCGGGGTCGCACTGGTACGGCGACGGCGACGCGGCAGCGATGCGAAAGAATAAGTGGCCGTTTGCGTAAAATCAGAGTTCGAGATCACTCTCTGTGCGAGTGCGGCCTAGAAGACGGTACCTTGGAACACATTTTTTTCAATTGTCCTAATATTGCTGTTCCACTTTATAACTTACTTTCTCCAAAATTCCCCCGCCCCATTAACATAAACAACCTCTTAACTTTAGTGTTCTCCCCCCATATTGTTACTCTATGTAAATTTATCCACTTAAATAACATATATTTATAAATGTTGTTTTGCTGTTTTGTTTTACATTCTCAACTGAGTACTCCCGTAGTCCAACTTACCAACACCGGTTAATGTCCTCTTAGAGCTTAGCGAAATTTTTTTTTTGTTTCGTTTTTTTTTCTTTCAACTGTGACATTGGCAAAATCATCAGTTCTCATATTGATGGAGCCATAAAAATAAAAAGTGAAGTGAAGTGGCCGTTCAAAAGCGAGAAGCCAGCGAAACGCCGCTATGTCGCTTAATGGGTGGCCACACCGGGCAGGTTAGGCGATCAGTGGCGGCCGCGACGAACAGTCACCATTGTGTAGTGGAAAGACGCGCACGAAAATTCCTATCATGAATTTAAAAAAGATTTGGTACATGAATGAAATCAAGATTGAACTCAGTACGGAGAATTTCATCATCTATATTCAGTATTGAGGAAACATTCAATCAGATTTAACGACTACACAAGAATGAGTATAGAATTAATCTTGGACTATAGTTTGGAAAATATTTATACCAGTATTTTGAAAAAGCACACCAACTGTATATTTTGTCGCAAATCGTGACAAATCGCCGTCGCATCACTGCTTGTCGTACGAAATTCAAGTGTCGTGGCGAGTCGCTGAATAATTTTATTTAATGCGGACACATTCATTACATGTAGAACATTTGAAATTTCTTTACGATATGAACAAATAAATTTCGCTTGTCGTTTCTGCAGTGCAGCCACCGACATATGTTTATATGAGTTTGTTTTCACGAAATCGCCGTCGCATCGCAGTCGCCTTAGTAGTGCGGCCGCGGCCTAAGGAAACACAATTTGTAAGGTCTGCTGACTCGATCTGTTGCTCAGTTGATAGGGCCTAGTACTACTAGGTACTACTAACTACCTAATAGGTACTATTAGTACAGATACTCAATATACAGGGTATCCCAAAACTCCTACGATAACCTGGTAACAGGATGTTGATAGTTTGTAACAACCCAGAAAAAATATTTCAAAAATTGGAGTCCTTTTTTATGATATAAGCCTTTTAATTAAAAATGTTGACAATGTACGCCCTGTGCACCATTTATAAGTACTACAATTACAAATTTGCTAACTTTGCTATTCTAGTTTTTGTAATGGTAACCCGATAAATTTAAAATTAAAAAAAAGAAAAATTTACGACGATATGCACGATTGGTGAAAAGGTCACTTTTTAAGGCGTTGCCGTGCATGTATTGACGCTGGTGACAACAGTTTGAGCACTTGCTGTAGTTTGTAATAAAATTATAACAATTTATTTATTAGTATATTTGTTTTATAAAGAGCCCGAAACGTCGGTTTATTTAAAAAAACAAATATTGGCGATTTAAATCCGGAGAAATAGTTTCATTTCCTATGTGTAACAATCGCGAAAACCTAAGAACTCGTTATTCATTAGTTTTATTTAAATTCCTATATCTGTCGAGAAATGTGGAATTTTGAGACTGTTTGCCTCACTTAATCATACTTACCATTTTTACCAGTCAGTCAAACTCCGACTACATGGATATGAAACCTAAATTAATCTTAGAGGCACAGAAAGCCATTTTCACTTAGAAAATGTAACCTTTTTAAATTGGCTTCTTTTAAGAAAAACCAAGATTATTTTTTCCAAGAAGCATGTCGTAGCGGTTTTATTCCATTTCAGAATCTTGATTAGTTGCGCCAACTTTTCTAAGACGTTGCCATGGTAGTCTAGGTACATTTTTTTACAGTATGAGGCGTCAAAGTTACCTTGAAAAAAATTCTGCTAAAAATTTGAAGAAAAAAATTAAATACATAATTTTTTTATGCTGAAACTTTAGCAATTGGGGCTTTCTTTGGCATTGTGTTCATTAGCTGGGCTATTTGGGTTACCATTACAAAAACTAGAACAGCAAAATTATCAAATTTGTAATTGTAGTAGGTACTTAAAAATGGTGTACAGGTCGTACATTTTCAGCATTTTTCATTAAAATGCTTATATCACAAAATAAATTAGTCCGACTTTTTAAATGTTTTTTTCTGGGTTGTTAGAAACTAGGCAACATCCTGTTCCCAGGTTATCGTTGAGTTTTGGGACACCTGTATAAAACAGGTACTACTAATACAGATACTCAATCTCATACAAAAAAATGTCGCACTCGTAACTCCGCTTATTCACCTACTATACTAATACGCGAAACGTCCAACAGATGGCAGCTATTATATTATATTTGTCAAGGTTATTGCCCCTGTTCAAGCTTTGTTTATATATACAATAATATATAATAAAATCGCAAAATAGTTGAGTCTACGTATAATATTTTAAAGTAAATGTCAGTGCTAAAACGTTACGAGGTTTCGAGAACGTATTCAAAGAAACACCCAGACTGTGATCGATTTAAAAAAGTTCTATTCTCAAATTCGTCCTACCGGGAATCCATGAATGATAAGTAGCAATAAGTCTCGCTAACATTCAAGATCTGGACGTCTTTGAATAGGCTTCCAACTCAGGTTGGTCGGAGCAAGGACAATTTGTTCAGGTGAGGATTTTCGGATGATTCTAACCTGGGGGTCTACTCTCGATCTCCGTCTGACATCCGTCCGAAACAATTAATGTCAAATAAGTTATATTCGACAAAATTAAAAGACAAGTATCAAGTATGAAGCTTCATTCGCATCGCGCGTCTTTTCATTTGGTCAAGTATTGCTTATGTGGCAGTAATTGTTTCGGACGTACATACATATGTCGGACGGAGATCGAGGGTAGGACTGTTTTTTTGTATGTATATTACGCGGTATCTCCGGCCGGTATTTGTGAACCGATTTTGATAATTCTTTTTTTGTTGGAAAGAGGGTACGTCGGTACTGGTCCCTTTTAAATTTGTAGAAAATAGTCCACCTCTACGAGTGGCAAACTAAGGGAATCGGTTTCAATATAACTTGGCAAATAGTTATAGTTTCACGAACTTTTGAGGTCGGTTTTTTAGTACTCTGTACTGAGATTATTATTAATAATGTATGTGCGTATTGATCATACTGATATTCATAAACTCTTTATTTTATTTTAAGAATATTTTTCCTTCTTTCTCGTATTGTTTTTCTTTTTTTAATTTCAATCATCATCAATTTGTTATAATTATTAATTTAAAGATCGAACACTTAGATAAAATTCCTTCGATCCGGCCGGATTCGAACCGACGTCTTCGAGCATACTGCGCCAGACGCTTAGTTAGTATAGCGTCTGCCACGGTATGCTAGAAGACGTCCGCCCGGATCGAAGAAGTTTTTTCTGAGTGTTCGATCTTTGTACTAATTATTAACTAATTATTATTAATTATTCTTTATTTTATTCTTATTATATTCTTAAGTATTTTACGTCTATTGTCAGTAATTATTTTAGTGGACAATTGTAATTGGCCTATACAAAAAAGTGCTAAACGTATGTTAAGGTTAACATTGTATTAAGGCTATTGTTATACCATTTTTTTTTAATGACACCAAGTGACGCGACGCACAAGTCGTGCGCCTGGTGGTAAGCGACACGCCTGCCCATAACAGTTGCAGTGTTTCCACCTTTCAATTTCACCAGCACACTTACCCTTCGAAACCGGAACGCAGTAATGCGAGCATTACTGCTTAGCGGGTGAAATAGGTAAGGTGGCAGTACTGCCCTGGACGATCACTTTCACAAGGAACTCTACTGTTAATAAAATAAAACGGCACCCTTGGCTATATACGTCCCATTGCTGGGCGTTGTTCTTCTAAGAGAAGAACA